CAGGACATTATTACTGCAAGTCTGGATAAACAGCAGCACAACATAAACACCACCAGGGCTGTTTAGAGCAGTAACCCCTTACAGCTCCTGCTACTTTACAGAATATCCTGTAACACACAGCACAGAGTTTGACTTGCAAACACATACAACAACTCAACCCTCTCCTCCGGTTGCACCAGGGGTTGGAAATGCCAGTGGAATTAAGGAGAATATGTAGCTCACTCACAGGGCTATGAAAAGGAAAGGTCAAAGTCTCTTGAACCACGTTTTGCAAGAAACCTTATCTCCAGGCTCCTCTAGAGAATGGAGGCAGGGAATCATTGCCTTCGCCTCTGGCTCCACAGAAATCCGAGCTCCTTTGGCTCTCTGCAGTGATTTTGGAAGCATTTCTGTATAGCTCTGATCCCAAAGCAGGCAGTGTCCCTCCCCCAGCAGCTGTTAACCATGACCTGCCTTCAGTTCAGCCACAAAGGTGTTCGCTCTGACGATGTCCAACGTTGTGACACCAAAGATTTTGTTGGGATTATACACACCGTGCTTCTTGAAGACTTCTGAAGTTATTGGGATGGTTGAATTTACCTACCAGCAAGAAGAGGCAAGCACTGATTAAAAGCAGTATGGTAACAAAGCCAATGCATGAACTTAAACAGGCCAACAAACAACCCAAATTACGCTTCCAGCTTGGAATCAGCTGCAGCCAATTACTTTAATGCCTAAATTGAAGAGCAATTTACAGTCAGGCTGGAATAAAAGTCATTAATTTTACATAACCATTAAGACAATAAATTTGTTCATTCCCATTACAAAGGCTCCTTCCTTAGAGAGCTAAGACTTTTATCCCAGCTAATACACCAGCTTTTATTATAACCAGTCACACAGACTTTGAGATATTAAGCACTTTTAGATCCAAGTTTCCTCTGACTTAAATACAGCCAAGAAAAATGGGTTAGTAGAACCAGGCTTTTAGGACTTTTCTGCTAATACACTGCAGATCTTAAAGATACTGCTCAAAAAGAATTTGGATTACTCTAGTATTCTTAGTCTGGATTTTGGGTTGTTTTTTTTTCCTTCCTCTACATTCCAAAGCCTTCAGAAAACACTTACCGGGTTAGAAATAATACAGATCATGGCTTCTGGACAGTGCTTTGCACAGGCAGATGTCAAAGAGGCAACAATGCTGGCGTTGGTGTTGAACAGGTCATCACGAGTCATACCTGAAACACAGCCAGTGCAGTGTCCCGTTACCCACAGTCTACCCCAATCAAAAACCTGGACAGAGACACATCAGCTCCTGGTTTCATGGATCAAGAGTAAATTCTGCAGCTGCAGCAATGAACTGGCTCCAAAGACAACTCACTCCTCTTGCTAACAGACAGACCAGCCCTTTTCAGCAGCAACCAGCCCAGCTGTCCATTGCCAGGTGCCTGGAGTACAGTGTGACCACACAGACCCACACCACTGGTACTCAGAGCAGCCTAACTGCTCCCAAGATGAATTTTCCTCCTTCTCTTAAATCACCTCCACAGCTCCAGTGTAAATGCCAGCTGCTCCGTGCAAAATATTGCTGGTTGTGTAAGTGCCACCTCCTGTTTCTGTTGCAGCAACTACTTGAACCGTGAAAAATGAAGATTTGGGAAGAGCTAGGCATTAAAGTCTAGAATTTTGTTACATTCCAAATAGGATACTGAAAAACAGAGTAGAAAAGGAGCAGGTCAGAGACATTCTATGAAGGCTTGACAGCATTTATTCAGAGATGCCCCGAGAAGTTACTGCACAATTGATGCAATGCAAACAGATTATTTCTGTTCTCCTGAGAAATGAAACAATGAACCAGTTTTTATTCCTCAAGCATTGCCCCAGGGCAAGAAACACTAAAGGGAGATGTAGGATCACTTCCATGAAAGGTCTTTGCACCTCAACCCCCCGTGGGAACTCCAGAAATCAATGCTGCCCGTTTCACAAGGGACAGTCTCAGAGAGAGGCTGAATGAGCTGCCTGATACCACAAGCAGCTCTGGGTCAGGGGCATTAACAGACCACTTACACCCCAAGCCACCACCACCATAAAGCATCAGACACAGCTCCATTTGAGCAGTAGCACTGCAGAGATTCACTTCAGAGCAGCCCTGGGGCTTTCCAACAAAGAGAACATACCTGGTTTTCTAGGAACTCCCGCCGGAATAACAACAACATCACAGCCCTTCAGACATTCTGGCAACTGCTCAGGTCCCATGAAGCCTGAAATGGAAGACACTCAGGCATTATGCTTTCCAGAGCTTTTAAGTATCTGATACTTCGAAATACAAAATTACACCCAGAGGCATCCAATTCCTTTTTATAATTTAGCCTTCAATTCAAACTTCCCCTGAAAAGCAAAGAAACACAATTATGGATGGATCCCATTTGATGCTTTATCCTTGTTTCAAAACTTACAGAACCAGAATGGTGAGAATCTCACAGTTCCTCCTGCTATGTGTATTTACTCTCCAAAAACCTTGGCATGAGTGTCAGTGCCCCCAGAGAATTTCAGACAGGCACATTCAAGTAAAATGTCACCTTCTGGAGGTCTTCAGATAAAATAAAGATTAGCAGAGTAAGTTTTGCTTTCATCAGAACCTGACAGCATCCCTTCAGAAAAGAAGCAGGTGGAATTCATGTGGAAACCCAGGGAGTGTCAAGCCGAGTTGTAGTCAAACTTCTAAATTCAACACTCAGGCTTTGTTCAGAAATAACTTCACTGAGTGTTTCCTGCCAGATATCACAAATTCCCCTTCAGCACCGCAACCACAGGCCATTTTCATCTCCATACATGTCAATCTAATCAGTTAAACCCTAATTAATTATGCACTGCTCGAGGAAAAAGCTACTTAAATTGACACCAGGCTTCGGGATCGCTGTGTGAAGATCCCCCTTCCCAAGAAACCCGCGACTCAGTGCCAGAGCCACCTGAGAGGATCCCTCGGGAACGCAGAGCATTCCCAGCAGTACCTTTGACACTGGCTTTGGTCTCGATGTGGCTGAGGTCGGCTGCCACGCCTGGAGTGTGGGCAATGTCATAGAGGCTGAGCTTGCTCACCAGCGGGCTGTTCTTCAGGAGCAGGGACAGGGGCTGCCCGATGCCCCCCGAGGCCCCCAGCACTGCTACCTTGGCGTTGCTCTGCGAGAAAGAGACGACAAACACGGGGCTGGAGATGTCCTGGCAGCCACCCCAGCGGTGACCTTGGGGATTTCACCACGCTTTCTTTGCTTTTAGCTCCGTTTCTCAATTTTTCACCCAGCGCTGTGCAAACTCGACAGGCTGAGCCCACAGAGAGCGATGCTTGTGAGAGACCCCCCAGGGATCCTCCGGGTTTACTGGCAGGACAAGTTGGAGGAAACTTATTTGCAGCCTGAAGCTCAAAAGGGAAGCAAGGCTAGGGCAAAGAAACCCTAAGGATCACCTTTCTCCAGACAGAAATGTCTGCCTGAGAATTATACCTGCCACCCTGAGGGCCCAGGTCTAACTTAGGACAAAATCTGGTTTATAGTTTCTCTAAACTATTAATATTGACAGTATTAGAAAAAATGCCTTCCCATTTGTCAAATCAATACATTTAACAGATTACAATAAATGTAATAACCACTGTATGTACATGAAGAAAATGTTTAGGCCAGGAGTAAATTCAACATAGTACCTGCAGCTGCCTCAAGATCAAGGCCTGAGAATATTAAGTGACTGTAACTTCCAGCTTTGATCATGAGGCTGAGAATCAAGTAAAATCAACCCTTCTTGGCTGTCCCGTGAATCAATTTTACCCTCACACGTGCACTGGCAGCATGTTATTTCTCTCTCTGTGCTCCTGTTTGTAGGGCATTGCCAGATGATATAAAACCTACTTTCAAGGACCAGAACAACCTTAAAGTGCAACACACTGCCAAAGGGATGGAGAACCAGAGTCTCCTGCAGAGATGCAACATGGCAACGCAATTACTGCTGAAAAAGCCATTCTCTATCACAGCCTTACCAGATAAAGCCATAACAGCTCCAAGTCCCGACATGAACAGCTTAATTACTGTGCTATGACAAGAAATAATCCACCCAAGAGCTAGATCAGCCCAACCTCGGCTCGGTTTTCTTGCTATTGTAACAGATGTAATTTTGCACAGAACTCTTGAAGGGAAAGCAAAGTCTGGCATGAGTCACTGTGCCCCATTTATGACTGAGCTGATACCATGAGGTCAAAACCTCGCTGCTAAAAGATACAGTTCCTATGAAGAAAGCTTGCACAAGCCTCTCCTGTGCAGCACATCTTTACGGCTCCAATAACCACTCTGTCGTGTCCCACTGGCACTATTAATGTCAGACAGAGGTCGGTCCCTACCCATGCAACCATAGCAGCAGCTCTCCTCTGGTTTGGGCTCAGCACAGCGGATTTCGAGCACACGAAGGATTACTGCTAAACCGCAGCCACCAGCTTTGGTTCTTAAAACCTCTGGGACGCAGGGGCACGTTTGCACCAGAGGAAGGAAAGCAGGAAACCTGCCTATCACCCACCGCACACCACCAGAGAGAAACGTCCATCAGGTCTGGGCTCCTCCCCGGGCCCCACAGGCCCAGAACCGAGGAGGGTCTGGGCTCCTCCCCGGGCCCCACAGGCTCTCACCGGGGAGGAATCGAGTGCAATGCAGGGCTAGCAGCCCCTCCCTAGGACGGACTGGGGCTTCTCCCCAGGCTCCCCTCGAGCCCCGCAGCCCCTCTCGGAGGAGGCCCCGGGCCCGGTCCCGCTCGCCACCCACGGTTACCTGTGCGGAGGTGGCAATGCCGCGGCGCAGGGCGGCGCCGCTGGCGGCGCTGAGGCGGGACAGCATGGCGGGAACGGCGGGGATGGTGGGAACTGCGGGAATGGGAACGGCGGGAGCGGCGCTGGCGGCGCTCGGTGACTCCAACGACCTCCACGGCCGGCGCGGCCCCGCCTCTCGCGAGATTTGTCCCCTCCCCTCCCCGCCGCGCGGCAAGTCTCGCGAGATCTGGGCGGCGGTAACCTTGGAGACGGGCGGGCGTCGCTCCCCGCGCCGCGCGCAGGGAGAGGGCGGGCTCGGGGTGTCGCGATAGTCGGCGACAGCCCGCCTGGGATGGCGGGGGTGGCGCTCTGCGAGCCCCGACACCTCTACAACATCATCAACCAGTGCCGGCGGTTCCCGCGGTTGGCGGAGCCCAACTACCTGTGCCTGCTGGGTGAGGCCGCGGCACAGGCCCATCCCTGCCAGCTGCTGTCCCTGCCTACCCCTGCCCATCCCTGTCTGCTGATTCCTGCCCCTACCTGTCCCTGTACTTGTCCCTACTCCTGCCTGCCGCTACTGTCCCTGCTCCTGCTCCTGCCTGTCCCTGCCTGCCCCTGCCTGCTGCTGCTCCAGGCTTTTCCTGCCCCTGCCTGCAGCCAGGCGCTGTGCTCAGCCCGGTCCTGCTCTGGATTTCCTTGTGTCCACTTCCCCCTGCTCTGATCCGTCCTATGGATACACACTCTGCCCTACTGCCTCCAGCAATTTTAGAGGTGGACAAGATCTTTCAACCATTTCAAAAGATTCCTGATAAGCGTTTGCATCTTGCATAGCGCCAATACCCCCCAAAAAGGTGTCTGATATTGCAATATTATTATATGCTTCAGCCAGTTTGGGAGTGAGGTTGGTGTCTCTCTGGTGCCCCTCTCCCCAGCTCTGGGGCAGCAGAGGCAGAGGTGCTGGGCAGAGGTCAGAGCAGGCACAGGCAGAGCACACTTGGGTCAGGACTAAGGCTGCTGGCATCACTTGGTGTTACACACACACTCCTATCCATCCTGGAGGTCGTTATATCCACACCAGAAAGCCTCAGTTCCTAAAAAAACAAATCACAGAATTGCCAAGGTTGGAAAGAAACCTTCAAGATCATCCAGTCCAACCATTAACCCAGCACCCCATAACCACTCCGAAACCATATCCCCAAGTGCCACAGCCCCAAATCTCTCTACTCTGGGTGATGCCAGTGCCTGAATTCCCGCTGACCGAATCACAAACAGAATTCCACCTTTACCGGCCAGTTACTGTGTCTCGGTTGTTTTTTTTCAGATGCCCGTACTCAGCGTGAATTCGACGAGAGCCACATTGTTACAGCCCGCAGGATTGAACGGGTGAGGGCATTGCTTGTGTGAACCACCCCCGGATTCAGCAATTAGCAGGAAGCCAAAACTGGCTTAAAACCCCCGGGGAAACGTCCCCCCGTCCTCTCCCGTGCCTGTTTCAGCCGTGCTCCGTGGCTGCCGCTGGGGGGACGTATTCTGTCACACAGCAAAGGCGGCCCCAGCAGCCCGAAGGATTGGCACACAGGGGCTGGATATCAGGAAAAATATTGCACAAGGACTCGCATCTTGTAGCCTTGTCTCGTACGGACAGTTCTGGCATCTGCCCCGCGGTGGGTGATGAAGCAATCAGAGCAGTTTGCATCATTTCTGGCTCCTAAGCGGGGCTCTCGGCGTCACCCACACCCACGCGGACAAACCAACACGTAGCTAGAGAGCTGCAGCTTGCAAGATGCCGCTAGTGTTGATGCCACAAGAGCAGAGTGGAGCTGTGCTCCTGACAGAATTCCTCTGTGATTTTGTAGGGTCCTACAGGGGAGTATCTGATCCCGAATGCGGAGGAGTTGGGCTATGTCAGACACTGTGTGGTGTATGACTTCAACACTAACTCTTTGAGCTACTGTGACTGTGATGAAGAGCAGAAAGAAACAGGTATGTGGGACCCATATCAGTCAAGACCTCACTGCCAGAGAGATACTCGTCCCATTCCTCATTTAACTTTATGCAGTTCATTGGAAGAGATGCAAATGTTCCCAGCTTTATTTGAAAAATGATCATCCCTTCTACGCCTCTGGTTTTTCACAGTGTTGTGGATGTTCTTAGTCTTCAAAAATCCAGGTTTTGTTTCAAAGCATCCTGGCAGGCGTGGTTTCCATCTGTGGATGATCCCCTGAAGCTCCTTGTTGCATGTGAGGAATGGGTTCTTTCTGCCCCCCGCATTTCCCTGAGATTGGGCTTGTCCAACGATTGCCTTTTAGGGAGCAGTGCTGCTTCAGAGACTGGAAACGTTGGCTCAGGTCCCGTGCATTCCCCGAGTGAGTACTTCCTTCTCTGAGGGTTAGAAAAGGCTTTCACATCATGACAACTTAAAAAGACCTGTCTTTAATGGGGGGGATGATTTGATGGAGTTCACGGAGAAGTGTGAAGAGCTGGAAACCTTCCCATGTCACTGTTCAGCCCTCCTTGAACCATGGAATCGTTTAGCTTTCACACATCCTTCGGCAGGGAGTTCAGCCCTGTGCAGAACTTCTGTATGTTTATTTGGCTCTTATGAGTTTTGCAAAGTCTACAATAGTTTTAGCAAAGATTTACATCACTTTACATAGGAAAAAAACACGTGGGTGTGTAAGGGGAATGAAAAAACAAGGCTGTTCCTAAATGCCCGGTGATGAGGCATTAAAGGGAAGGTGTGAAGAATCAGAAGTGGGTTTCTATTGTGCTGATCTATTTCTAAAGCAGACATAGCTAGAGGGAAGCAGGATGGATCCCTTGGGAAGAGGAGCAGCCATCTCACATAATTTACTTCACTGAGGAGAGTGTTTAAAACACTTGAGAGGGAAGACACTTCTTTCTTCTCCCCTCTTTACCTAAAGCAAACTAAAGAAAAGGGCCTCTGTAAAACTATGATAGATTTAAATTGATAATACGTCCCTCTTGTGGGAACTTATTACAAGCATTTCCCAAAGAAAAAAAGGGGAGAGAAAATAAAAATGCAAACACCTTTCTCTAGACCTACAGAAGAATCAAGGAGAGGAATAAAGATCAGGACAAGAGGTGAAAGCAGCACACAGGTACAGAATAAGTCGAGTTTTTAGCAAGGTTTTCTACACAGCATTAAATGAAATGAAATGGGAATTGCTGTGGGTGTTGGGGAGGCAGATGATGGAGACACTGAACCTGCCCTGTCAAACAGCTTTTTGGTCTCCTTAGATACTGAGGAAGGAGCTGCATTCCTACACGCCAGAAACTTTCAGGAGTTCACCCGCCACCACGTGCTCGTCCTGAAGGGAGGCTACAGGCGTTTTTCAGCTTGTTTTCCTTTTCTGGGGACTCAGAAGACACTGTGGATGCCTCAGGTGACATGAGACTAATCTGAAAGTAGAATTAGCATTCATATTCAGCTGATGATGGCTGATGAATTCAAGTTAAATGGTGTTGCAAATGTAGTATCACGGTAATTTCAGGCAGAGGAGTTAAATGTCATTTGGATTGCTGTGCTTGCCCTGAGTCTCACCACCGATCCTTTAGCAGCCACACTTTTCCCTCTTCCGTTGCATGAAAGAAAGCTCATGGAAACAACCTGGGAACGTTTTCCTGATAACCCTGAAACTGGCCTGGGGAGAGTACAGATAACTGAACAAACACTAGCAAATGATGAAAAGAAACAGGGTCCTCTCTCACACGTGGTTATCTGGGATAGTACACAGCAAATGTTTTCAGACAGAAGTGCAATTCCTACCAAGCACTGTGTTCCATGTGTTTCCATCGGGAAGGATCACAGTGCTGGTGCATTGTTTCAATAGGCCCAGAAGGAAAACAGCCATCCACTCGAACACTGGTATCCTAATATTTGGCTTCACCTGCAAGCATCGATCTGTTTAGCTCATGAAAAACAATCACCCTTTATTTCACATCTAGGACAGGACCTGAGGCAGGGCAGGCTAAGAAGGTGCTGGTCAGCAGAAAGCATCTCATTGCACTTGTTCCCTCCTGATTCCCATGAAATAGCCCGTGACGCTGTGCTGACCTGGGGGATGCTGCAGCACAGGAGGCAAAATCGATTCACTTTGTGCTGCTTTGTGAAGGGCAACACATTGCTGAGCCTCACAGGGACACAGAGTACCTCCCTGCCTCTCAGTTTAAGCTGTTCACTGTTGGTTTAGGCTGCTGCTCTGTGCAGAGTATCCTTTAAGGGTGTCGAGGCTTTCTTGTGTATTTTCATTCTCAGCCTCCACGCTGCAGGCGCTGGAAGCAGCTGCAGACTTGTGCTGTGCCACTACAGGGCACCTGCAGCTCTGCAGGTGGCAGATGATTTCATTTAGCCCTGCAAACAGCAACCAGGGAGAACATCAAATGGATCTGTTACGCTGCAGTCCCTGCAGACAATGGGAAGGATGTATTCCACCTCCTGTTTAGTCAGGGTTGGTTTCAAGTAGCGCCGCAACGACAGCGACGCTGTTAATTATTCTCAGTAAATCTAGTAAAGACTTCAATATACAGAAAGTCCAGGTGATTGAATGAATCATTACACTAAATTGTGTCATGGGCTGTTGACTAAGTGCTTGTTCAATTCTTCACATGACTTCTGTTTAAGAACTTAGCAAGCTAATGGGAGCAAAGACCCTCTCTAACCTGAGCCTATGGTTTCTTTCTGGCAGGAGCTAGACAACTTCCAGCCATACCCTGTAGAAATACTGCCTTTAAAGTTATATATGGGCAATTTCAAGCAGGCCTGTGACCAAAAAATTCAGAAAGATCTGAGGATCAAAGCAGTAGTCAACGTCTCTGAAGAGCCTGTAACACTGTAAGTTAAACACTTCAAGGTTTACCCTCACCGGTGTCTGTGATGTGAAAAAATGAGGTGGCACAGAGTCTGTTCACAGAGGAGTCAGTGCCTCTGAACTTCCAAGGAAACCTCTGTTGTTCACTGCAGATTCCAGTGCCATTTCATGCTCATTTTTCCAATCTCCACCTCAGAGCAACAACACAGTCCTGCAGCCCTTGACCATGCCATGGGTGGGTTGGGTGAGAGGACGAGGAAGCCCTTGACATTTCAAGTCTATCACACATACTACCATTTTCCAGGAAAAAGCTGTATCTCTGAATTGCTTTCAGAACAAAATCTTACAAAGACGTCAGTGTAAAAGCTAAATCACCCATATGTCACGCTGCTGGTCTTCTTTCCTTCCTTCCTCCTCTGTTCATGACCATTCAGCTCAGTCTGCAGATTGTGCTGGAAATGCCATTTCACACAGTGAAAAATCCAGTGGCATTTCTCAAGGAGGTGACCCAAACTAAGAAAGCAACAAATCCAATTACCCACCCCAGGACAAGTGTACCAGCAGACACTTCTTATGCTTTTGGCTCCAGAGAAAGGTCTATGCACTGTGGGTAATATTCCCATGCCCTTTGCATGATGTGCTTTCGCATTTTGGAAACTCCTCACCAGTGTTTTGCTCTATGAGTTCTCCCAGTTGGGTTCTCTGAGCTTGTGGAAGGAGAAGATGCTGTCATAGAGAACCACACCAAGTGACATGGGGGGGCTCTGTCCACAAAGCAGCCAACACTCACATGCTGCGAAGGCACTCTGGCTTTCAGTTCATCTGTTTGCATTTATCTCTCAGATAAAGGAAGCTGTAGGTTAAGACAGTGATGCTGATACCACGTGAAGTGGAAAATCAGTAATTAAATTGGCTCTGTGTTAAAAACATCTCGGTGTCTCACCATAACAAATCCCTTATCATAATGTTAATGATGATGATGATGAAAAACTTACACGTGTAACTGCAAACAAAATTATCACCTTGCCTCAAACAAACACATCTTGTTCAAAGCTGCTTCTCTGGTCCATGTGGTCTGTGTGCTCTCTTTCCAGGTTTGCAGAAGATGGTGAATCTCTCCATATATCTGTTCCAGATTCACTCGAAGCAGATCTTTTTTCTTTCTTTCCCATCATTTCTCATTTCATAGGTGAGTTGATCCTGATCTGGAATTCCTGAGACCTTGCTCACTCGAGGATATTAGATGGGAGTGACAGCAATTCACTGCAACAGGAAGCTCAGGCAGCAGGGTCGTAATCATTCGTGATCAGTACACTCCCAAGCAAGCCCACACCCTGATGGATGCTGGACCTGCCTCACTATCCAGCCTGATGGACAGAGAGGAGATTTTACAGGGCATCTGACTCTGATGTTCCTGCTCACCCTCACTCTGGTAATAGGCAGCTTTCCACCTGACCTGGAAAGGCTTTGCTGCAAAGTGTGCACCAGAGCTCCATAGGATTCCCTCTTACTCCTTTGCAACAACCCTTTGACTCTTACCAGCCCCAATCTTCAAAAACCACAGCTTTATTTGAACCAGAGTGTGACCCACATTAGGGAACTTTCCACAAGGTGCTGCTAATCTTCGTGATTTGCAGTGCAGACCCACGGTAGGGCCTGGGAAGACTTTCAGGTTGGACGGCATCAACCTGCCTTTGGCTGATTACATCAGATTGGGCATGAAAAAACACACTCTCCAGCTCAGTGCCTGCAGCTGCACAGCAGACACGGCTCCTGCAGCTCCATCCTGTGATGCTGTCAAACCCTGCCGTTATCTTTTATCACACTTATCAGATAACACCTGCCACAGAGCAGGGCCCTGCTGAGCGGAGGGTTGTTCAGAAGCAAAAGACCTCCCTGTCCCCACAGACCTTATAATCCAAGTACAATATCAGAAATGACAGCTGGACACAGAGAAACAAGGAAACAACATTTCAGGATATAATTTTGTAGTCCTGAACTGGATTTCATGATTTGCATGCACCCAAATGCTGAAATTCACTTCCCTGCAAAGCTTTCGTTGTGCCCCACGTTTTTTCCCAGTAGTGTTTCAGAAGGCAGTTTCTTTCTCCCATCAGTTTGTGGAAGTTTCCAAGGCAGACTACAAGAGTTTATTATCTTTAGCTCTTGTGGAAGTGTTGCACTGTTTACCTGATACTGGAATTGTTTACTTGGCCCTCAAGAGCAGATTAATTCAAACTGTAACAGTAAGGGGTGAACACCAGACTCAAGCTCTCCACACACTCTGAGGAGTGTGAATATTCTCATGCCAGGTGTATGTTGGAGTGAGGCAACTTCTACTCAGGTCTTAGAACAGAAATAGTAACTCATTATAGAAATAAGTTAGAAAATGATGTTATAGTGCTTGAAAAAAAAAAAAAGCAAATGAATTCTATCATTCAGGTGCTAATATTCAAAAAACATCATGCTGTCTAGAGAGAGAAAGGATTAAAAGCTTAATTATTAAATATGCAACCTTCTAGGCACAGGCAGCAGAGTTAATGTGGTTAGGAGCCACTGACAGCATCCTTTAGTAGCAAGTGGGTTTGCTGATCTTTGCAATTTTCACCACAAAGTATCTGTCATAAAAAAACATCATAAACCCAGTGCCCCAGCTGGCATGTACATACTTCCTGCTGGTGATCTCCATGGAGAGAGGGAAGGGATTTGGAGTCTCAGTTCCCCTTCAGTTTGGGAGCTGATTGCTCCAGCCTGAATGGAGAGCAGTCAGGCCTTTGTTCACTAGAAATTTCCATCCCTTTAAGCCTTTCTGGGAGGGGCTGGAGCAGGTGATGTGAGTGATGCTGACCACAGCTGATGGGTCGTGGTAGACCACATTTCTTCAGCTCCCTGATGTAAAGGTGACACATGTGCATTGACTGGTTATTGTAACTGGTTCTGGTCTTCAAAGCCATGTTTTAACCGAGTGGATTTCTCAGAAAGGCAAATGCTTACAGAAATGGGAGCTGGCAGTGCCCATCTGCTGCTGTCAGGGTTGCTGAGGGCTCCTGTCGCTCAGCCTGTCAGCTGTCACCAAGTTAGTGCTTGGCTCTACCTTTGGAAGCTTGATTAATCATTAATTTGTGATTGGCGTTTCTTTCCTCAGATGCTCAGATGGATGGTGGAGCAGTGCTGGTGTTCTCCAGCCTGGGGATAAGCCGGAGCAGCACAGCCATCTTGGCCTATCTCATGCATTCCTGCCGGCTTTCCCTGAAGGTACGTCACTGTCACAGCTCCCACGGGCACTGGCTGGGTCTGCACTTGTTTCTCTTTCTGAAGCCTCATCACTGTAGTAGTAACACATTCACTGGCAGTGATTTCATGCAGAATATCCACCTGATAATGTAACTGATGATATGATCTGAGAGTGCATCTTCTTTATGCCATTAAGGAGTTGTCTTAGATGTGATTTTGGGTCTGTGAGTTCTTACCCTGGCACCTGTGATATCCTTCCATTTCCCTTCTTAACTGCAGGGCTATAAAACTAAAGCTGTGGTTAGAGAATATGGTATTTCTCTCCTGGATCTGAGAAAGAGAGTGGAAGCTACTGCAGTTAATCCCATCTCTTAATTCCATGGCGTTACAGGGAGGTTCAGAACCCAGTGTTTGCAGGGCTCTGATTTACCACTGACTTCAGCATCAGCACTGACCTCTTCTGAAACCCCATTTTATTTCTCCAGAAGCAATCCCCTCCCACGGATACTGCTGTAGAGAAATCTGGAAGGGGATAATACTGGCCCAGGAGGGATATATAGATTAGATGGCCAGTACATGCTTCTCCATAGCTCTGAATAATGTAAGAAATGGATGAAGGATGGCTGGGAATGGCCTGGCTGTGCAAGAGCCTGGTGGCTTCTCTCTTGGTGCCCTTTCTCCCTCTCCATACAACACATGGGCATTGTGCTGCCCTAAGCACCATCTCATGGTACCTGCTAAATCAGAGAAGCTGAGTTCCCATGGGAACTGAACAGCATCTCCTTATCCCTGTTTAGAAAGCCTCCTCTGGGAGCTTGAATGGATTGGTCCAAACTTCACTTAAGCTGGGCCTGTATCTAATAAATTTATTGATTTTGTGCAAACATTTGCAACGTAAGAGGAAATCTCTATCCGTGGCTGTGTGCCAGTGGGTAATTAGAGGCTGAGGGTGCCAGCAGGGCTGCAGACACGGCTCAGTCCCTGCACTAACACGGGTGTAATTGCTCCTGCACGCTGATAACCAGCACACTGAATTTCAGACCGGGCTTGCATGGCAGT